TTATTTATGGGTTCTCTATTCTGTTCAATTGGTCATACCTGTTTTTGTGTCAGTATCATGGTGTTTTTTATTTATTTATTCAGGAGAGGTTTTTGCTATAGGGTGTGTGTGCTCGCCAGAAAGAGAGACAGAGAGACAGAAAGTGAGAAATCACCCCCCAGGGGGGATGGCCACATTGCAATCCCTTCTCCTCCATTCTTCTCTCAGGATCTTGGGCACACACGCACACGTGCCCAATGTGAGTTTAAGCCACTGAGTCTGGGACTTGAACCGCAGTCGACTACATGGGAGTCCAGCAACATAGCCATTATGCCATCTGCTGGCCCCATCATGCTGTTTTGATTATTACCCCATGTAATATATTTTGGGCTCAGGGAGTAAGATGCCTCCTACTTTATTCTTTGTGTGCAGTATTGCTTTGGTGATAGGGGTTTTTTTTGTGATCCCAAATTGTGTGATTGTTTTTTTTTCCTAATTTTGTAAAGAGTATTTCTGGTAATTTATTGAAATTTCATTAGGTTTGTAAATTGAGTATTTACATTTTGATTATTTATTTATTTTTTTGGAGAGGTTTTCTCTATAGGGCGCATGCTCTCGCCAGACAGAGAGAGACATAGAGACAGAAAGCGAGAAATCACCCCCCAGGGGGGATGGTCACGCCGCAATCCCTTCTCCTCCATTCTCCTCCCGGGATCTTGGACATGCACGCACATGTGCCTGGCATGAGTTTTAAGCCACTGGGTCCGGGACTCGAACCGCAGTCTACTACGTGGGAGTCCAGTGACATAGCCATTACACTAACTGCTGGTTCCCCATTTTGATTATTTTAATTCTTCCAGTTCTGGAACATGAACTGTCTTCACAATTTTTTGTGTGACTTTCAATTTGGTGTTTTAGTTTTTCATAGTTTTCCTTGTTAGAAGTTTTTGACTTCTTTGGTTAGGTTTGTTACTAGGTATTTTATAGTTTTTGTTGCTACTGTATTTGAGATTGCTTTCAATTCTACCTCTATTTATTTTTGGTGTTTTGTTTGTAGATTCTTTCTATGTATATAATTATGTTACCT